GTTGTAGCTATAACCCTGGTTGTGGAGCTTGTAGTACTGGTTGTAGATATTACGCTGGTTGTGAAGAGGGCTTATATAGGCTATGCCTGCTGCCCATTCCGTTTATGTATTTTTCACATAATAAAATTTGTTCAATTCAACAAGAGGCCCATGGGCCTTATAAGTCACCTGAGCATTATGCAACAACTTGACAGTGATTTAATTTGAATTATGTTTTAGGCCAAATGCTATGGCATTCACAATTTTGAAAGAGGCACCATTGATCATCATAACAATACACTTAACAATTGCTAAGTTTGTTTACTTAATACCGGTCCCATAGGCAGGGTAGGGGAACAAAAAATGTATTTCAAGTAATCAGTAATATTCAGCAATAATGCCCTTATCACACATGAACCCCTGACCCTTAGGCCTAGATCCACACATTGCACAATTTTTGAAAAGGCACCCTTGCTTTTCAAAAATATTTGATTAAAATCAAGGAGCAGATCTCAAACAATTCATCGAGTTTCAGTATATAAGTACCCCCCCATGGTATCCCTGACCCTGGAGCCTTGAAATTCACAATTCTGGAAGATTAGGGCCCTTGCTCATCATAACTACATAGGTAGTTCATCTGCTTACCCAAGAGCAGAGAATAAAACTTTCTAAGATTTAATGTATTTTCACTATATCATCAAGAGAGCCCTACCCTGACACCAGAACCCCTGACCCTAGTGCCATAAAATCAAAATTTTGGAAGAGGTATTCATGCTCATCATAACTATGTACTTAGTTTATTTAATTCCTAGGGGCAGAAAAGAATTTTTTTCAAAGAATTCTTGTATTTTCACTATATAATCAATAGAGACCCGCCTTAACCCTGACCCTGGGGCCATAAAATTCACAATTTTGGTAGAGGTACTCTTGCTTATCATAACTATGCACTTAGTTAGTTTATTTAATACCCAGGAGCAGAGAAGAAGATTTTCATAGAATTCATGTATTTTCACTATATAATCAATAGAACCCTACCCTGACACCAGAACCCCTGACCCTAGTGCCATGAAATCAAAATTTTGGAAGAGGTATTCTTGCTCATCATAACTATGTACTTAGTTTATTTAATTCCTAGGGGCAGAACAGAATTTTTTTCAAAGAATTCATGTATTTTCACTATATTATCAATAGAGCCCCGCCCTAACCCTGACCCTGGGGCCATAAAATTCACAATTTTGGTAGAGGTACTCTTGCTTATCATAACTATGCACTTAGTTAGTTTATTTAATACCCAGGAGCAGAGAAGAAGATTTTCAAAGAGTTCATGAATTTTCACTATATAATCTATAGAGCCCCACCCTAACACCAGAACCCCTGACCCTGGGGCCATAAAATTCACAATTTTGGTAGAGGCACTCTTGCTCATCATAACTATGCACTGAGTTAGTTTATGTAATACCCAGGAGCAGAGAAGAAGATTTTCAAAGAATTCATGAATTTCACTATATAATCTATAGAGCCCCACCCAAACACCAGAACCTCTGACCCTGGCGCCTGAAAATTCACAATTTTAGTAGAGGCACTCTTGCTCATCATAACTATGTACTTAGTTGGTTTATTTTATACCCAGTAGCAGAGAAGAAGATTTTCAAAGAAATAATGCATTTTCACTATATACTTATTTAGCCCCGCCCTAGCACTAGAACCCCTGACCCCGGGACCATGAATTTCACAATTTTGGTAGAGGACTCAAAACTGTCAAAACTGATTACAATCATGCAAACAGTTTGATTGCTTGATGTCCAGGAGTAAAGAAGAAGATTTTTAAAGATTGCATTAATTTTAGTGGTTTTTGACCCACCCACCAGGCCCCGGGGGGGGGGGGGGGGCAGGGACCATGAAATTCACAATTTTTGTTCCCCTCCACCCATAGATGCTTTGTGCCAAAATTTGTTGCAGCGGTTTCAGAGAAGAAGCTGAAAATGTTCAAATGTTAACACACGACACACAACACACGACCTCGGACGAAAACAGATAGCAATAGGTCACATGAGTTACTCAGGTGACCTATTGCTATCTGTATTCGTCCGGGGTTAGGGGTTCTGGTGTTAGGGTGGGGCTCTATAGATTATATAGTGAAAATTCATGAATTCTTTGAAAATCTTCTTCTCTGCTCCTGGGTATTAAATAAACTAACTAAGTGCATAGGTTGTGAAGACTGCATCAGTTGTGGAGTTTGTAGCACTGGTTGTGTCTGTACCACTGATTGTAAAGCGTCCTGCGGTAGATCAACCTTAGGAGGTGGATGCTGCTTTGCTCTTTTGGAGAGTTCTCTTTTGGGCCCTGTCCCTTCTGTTGTCTGTCGTGTCCGAGGTATAATTTTCCTCGACGTGATATTTATATGCAAAAAAAAAAAAACGAAGAAAGGTTCATGTACAAAATATACATATGTATGCTTGTAAACATTATACATGTTAAAAAATTATAATGTCACACAGTGTTATAATGTCACACAGTGTCCTATTTCTAAAAAAAAAAAAAACCTTTAAAGCGAGTTGCTTAATAAAGCACCAGAAAAAAATTCAAGATTTATCTGAATAGTAAGGAAATTGTTGAGTATGATTACTAAATATAATCCAGACGTGAATACCAATTTGCTTCTGTATAAATCGTTATCCTTAAAAATATTTAGATTGAAGGAGAGAGAGAAAAAAAAGGTCAAAATGGCGACACCAATAAAAACGTGGTTGATGAATATGCCATGTAATGTCATTCCTAATTGTTTTGTACGTTGGATGACTATTGCAACGAAGCATATTTAACACTAAGAGATAAAACCCTAGATGTAAATAAAAAAGATTGATTGATTGTATGCTGTTTAACATCCTCTCCAGAATATTTCACCAAAATGTCACCATTGCCGGTGAAGGGCTGCAAATTTAGTCCTATGCTCTGCACTTACGGCCTTTGAGCAGGGAGGGATCTTTATCGTGCCACACTTGCTGTGACACGGGGCCTCGGTTTGTACGGTCTCATCCGAAGGACGGCCCCATTTAGTCGCCTTTTACGACACCCAAAGGGGGTATGTAGCTACATGTAGATATTACATTTGCACAGAAGATTTAGGTGAGAATTTAAGAAGTCTTCATTCGGAACATGCAATCAGAAATCTAATTTAAGTATCTTTCTACTGAAATCCCTCATACTTTTCTTCATATGTCTGTCTTAATTGTCGTCTGTGTTAATTGTCCTCTTCCTCTGCAGCATTTAGATATTTAATCTCACATTGTTTGTCTCTGAAAGAAAGTCAGGAGAAATAGCATGCTCTTTGTTAACCTGTTAAATAGTAATTTATAAAAACCACATAACGACCGATTCTTCTTTCCTTGCATTTTGTCTGCAACTATGTATGGGTCTACCTTTCTTCCATTTTTTTTTCCAGTGTTAAATTTCTATAACAGAAATTGTATTTGCATTTTTGAGGAAACAACACTTTTTCTCTTTGTTTTCAAAGCCTATCCTTGATCTATTCTAACCGATTCACATGTAGTATAAACTCTTGATAACACCAGCATTTGAACTTTTATGAGCAATTAAGAATTATTTAACTTTATAAAGCTTACTATTTTCGTTTTCAGCTCACCTGAGCCGAAGGCTCAAGTAAGCTTTTCTGATCACATTTTCTCTGTAGTCCGTCCGTCCCTCCTTCTTTAAAATTTTCACATTTTCAACTTCTTATCAAGAACCATTTTTAACCCAACTTGGTACAAAGCATTCTTGGGTGATGGGGAGTTTATATTGTTAAAATAAAGGGCCAAGTTTCCTTCCAAGGGGAGATAATAGACAAAAATAGGGTAGTGTCATTAAAAAATCTTCTGAAGAACCAGTGGGCTAGAAAAGCTGAAACTTACTTGGAAGCATCCTTGGGTAGTGTTGATTTTACTTTGTTAAAATCCTGATCCCCAGGGGTAGGGCGGCCCGGGCCACAATAAGTAATCCAATTTTTTCATAGAAATAAATAGAAAAAAATCACTCGGCCAGAGAAGCTGAAACTTGTATGGAACCATTCTGGTGTAGTGTAGACTGTAAATTGTTAATTGTAAATTGATAAAATCATGACCCCGGGGGTAGGGCGGGGCCACTATATGGAATCCTATTTTTACGTAGAAATATAGGGAACATTTTTAAAAATCTTCTTCTCAAGAACCACAGAGCCATAAAAGTTGACACTAATGTGGAAGCATCCTGGGGTAGTGTAATTTTTATTTTTTACAATCATGCGGCGCTAGGGTGGGGCCACAAAAGGGAATCCAGGTTTTAGATAAAAATATATAGGAAAAAAACTTCTTCTCAAGAACCAGTTGTCATTGAAGTATTGCTATTTAAACATGTTTACTCACAAAAATTTGAGGTACCTAACCAGGCATTTCTGCAAGTAGTTTTTATATAATCCTTTGGGGAAGAAAAATATTTTTCAATTTCAAATGTTTAAGTGTTTGAATTTTTTAAAATGGTTTAGAAACTGGTTTAGAAATCAGAGTGTTACTAAAATTCTGAATAATTTTCATACATTACGAAGATATACAAAACAGATTTTGAGGAACGTCTCGTCTGACCTTAAAATAAAGAGAAAGATGAAATATCGATTTCAAAGACGGCGCTACCACTCATCAGCTGTTGATTATGTGTGCTTAAGGTCAATTCAAATATTCTGACGACATAGTATTTCAGTTATATATGTTTGCTGGCTTACATGGGAATATCCACAGTAAATAATAAAACGCACACTTGGAAAATACTTTGATCAGTGAAGTGAAATCAACGAATGCTATTAATATCTCAGAAAGTTCATAACTAGGAATTCTAAGGGTTGAAAAGAAAAACATGATATCAAAATAATTTAAAGTGTGATCAATATGCTTGTATATGTCCTTCGTATTTCCCTGTTTTCAAGCTTCTGTGAATTGGCAACTGCTCAACACTCACAAAGGTACCTAGAGAAAATGGAACATCGAAACAAGATGTCTTCCACCACGCCTTTAACAGAGTACAGTTCGCCGTCACTGAGTCATTGTATGGCCTCTTGTAGCAGCGCTTGTGGATGTAATTGTTTGGGATTCAACAATCACACGGAGAAATGTCGCGTGCTGAAATCATGCGACTCGGTGGACATGACGAGCACTGAAGCTTTTTGGAGATACTACATTCCTACACCACAAGGTAAACACAGAACAAAATAATTTTTGAAAAATGTTGGCATATAGCATTTCAGGGTGGTGGGGAGTAAAAATTGCGAATTTCATAGACCCTGCCTGCCTGGGGCCTGAAGGATGGGACAAAAACCACTAAAATTAACGCAGTGTTTACATTTTTCTTCTTTACTCCTTGGCAACGAGCAGTCAAACTGTTGGCATTATTGTAACCCACATTGAAACCTCTACCAAAATTGTGAAATTCATGGCCTCAGGGTCAGGTTTTAGTGTTAGGAAGGGGATGTAATTATTATAATGAAAATACATAATTTCTTTGAGATGTCATCTCCTCTTGTGAGTATTATGAAAGCAAACTAAATAAATACTTATTAAAAGGGGTTCAAGCCTAGTATTCCGACGGTCCTATAGTCCGACAACCCAGTAGTCCGACGGTCCGATAGTCCGACGGCCCGGTAGTCCGACGGTCCGATAGTCCGACAGCCCAGTAGTCCGAAGGTCCGATAGTCCGACGGCCCGGTAGTCCGACATTTTGAACATTACCAATATTTTTAATAGTGTTATAATTTCTCCTTTCTGACATTATTTCAAGGTAAATACAAACAAGAGGCCCACGGGCCTTATAGGTCACCTGAGCATTATGCAACAACTTTCCAGTTATTGAATTTGATTCATGTTTTAAGCCAGATGCTATATGACATTCTCAATTTTGAAAGAGGCACCATTGATCATCATAACAATACACTTAGCAGTTGCTTAGCTTGGTTACTGAATACCCATACACAGGGTAGGGGAACAAAAATGCATTCCAACTAATCAGTAGTGCCCCTAACACTGTGACATAAACCCCTGACCCTAGGTCCACACATTGCACAAATTTTAAAAAGGCACCCTTAATATCAAAAAATAAATTATAAATGTTTTATATATACAAAAGAGCAGATTTCAAACAATAAATTCATTTTCAGTATATGAGTAGAGCCCCCACCCTACCCCTGACCCTGGGGCCTTGAAATTCACAAGTCTGCAAGATAAGGGCCCTTGCTCATCATAACTATAAAGGTAGTTCATCTGCTTCATAACCAGAGACAGAGAATAAAATTTTCAAGATTCAATGTATTTTCACTGTATAATCAATAGAGCCCCGCCCCCCTAACACCAGAACCCCTGACCCTGGGGCCATAAAATTCATAATTTTAAAAGAGGCATTCTTGCTCATCAGAACTATGTACTTAGTTTATTTAATTCCTAGGAGCAGAGAAGAAGATTTTCAAAGAATTTATGTATTTTCACTATATAATCAATAGAGCCCCTCCCCCCTCCCCAACACCAGAACCCTTGACCCTGGGGCCATAAAATTCACAATTTTGGTTGAGGCACTCTTGCTCATCATAACTATGCACTTAGTAAGTTTACTAAATACCTAGGAGCAGAGTAGAAGATTTTCAAAGAATTCATGTATTTTCACTATATAATCAATAGAGCCCCCCCCCCTCCCCTAACACCAGAACCCTTGACCCTGGGGCCATAAAATTCACAATTTTGGTAGAGGCACTCTTGCTCATCATAACTATGCACTTAGTTAGTTTATTTAATACCTACGAGCAGAGAAGAAGATTTTCAAAGATTCATGTATTTTTACTATATAATCTATAGAGCCCCACCCTAACACCAGAACCCTGGACCCTGGGGCCATAAAATTCACAATTTTGGTTGAGGCACTCTTGCTCATCATAACTATGCACTTAGTTAGTTTATTCAATACCTAGGAGCAGAGTAGAAGATTTTCAAAGAATTCATGTATTTTCACTATATATAATCAATAGAGCCCCGCCCTCACACCAGAACCCCTGACCCTGGGGCCATAAAATTCACAATTTTGGTAGAGGCACTCTTGCTCATCATAACTATGTACTTAGTTCATTTATTTAATACCCAGGAGTAGAGAAGAAGATTTTCAAAGAAATAATGCATTTTCACTATATACTTATTTGGCCCCGCCCTAGCACTAGAACCCCTGACCCCAGGGCCATGAATTTCACAATTTTGGTAGAGGACTCAATGCTGATTACAATTATGCAAACAGTTTGACTGCTTGATGTCCATGAGTAAAGAAGAAGATTTTTAAAGATTGCATTAATTTTAGTGGTTTTGGCCCCACCCCTCAGGCCCCAGGGGGGCAGGGATCATGAAATTCACAATTGTTGTTCCCCTTCACCCATAGATGCTTTGTGCCAAATTTGGTTGAAATTGGTTCAGTGGTTGCAGAGAAGAAGCTGAAAATGTTCAAATGTTAACACACGACGAACGACGGACGACGAACGACGGACGACGGACGACGACGGACGAAAACGGATAGCAATAGGTCACCTGAGTTTACTCAGGTGACCTAAAAAACCGCCAGGGGGAGGGGGGGGGGGGGTCAACAGAAAATGGTAAGAAATTATGCACTCGAAGGAAACGGATATTTTAATTTTCTTTCTAATTTCCTTAATATAGTTGAATATGGCACGCCAAATTCACAAAAATTAGCTAAACATAGTTCCACAATTGATAAACTAGGTTTATCGTCTGTAAACTATAGTTAACGATTCGTAAAGTATAGTATTCATTTGTAAAACTATATTTAACGGTTGTCAACTATAGTTTACGAACGCTAATATAAGTTTATCTGTCTGTAATAAAACGTTAACAATAGATTTTGTTGATAAAAATAGATTCTCGTTTGTAAACTATAGTTTACAATCATAAACTATAGTTAAGAGTTCTTAATCATAGTTTCACAAATCGTGTTACTATATTTATCAGATCGTTAACTATAATTAACAGTTTGTAAACTATAGTTTACAAATCGTGAAACTGTATTTATCGGATAATCTATGTTTTGCAATCGCAAATGATTGTTTTCGGTGTTAAACTGTATAGTTTACGGTTGTGAAACATAAATTATTGCGTTAACTATGGTTTATAGATTTAAAATATAGATTAACGTTGTTAACTATAGTTTACAGTCCGTAAACTATAGATCACAACCGTTAAACCTAGTTTATCGACTGTGAAACTACTTAGTATATTTTGCTCATTTTTGTGAATGTGGCGTGCCATAATTGAATATGTTTTAGAAATCGAATTAAAAAGATTTTTCGACAAATTAGAAAGATTTTTCGTCAAATTACAAAGATTATAAATATAGGACTTTTTTGTAAATCAATTAAACAATTAAAATCAATTTAAAAATATAAAAGAGGCAATTCGTATATAGACACCTTAGCTTACTCAGTATTAAATTTAAAATTGTGATTTTTTTTATTTGAACGTAAATACCAGTAACACACAACATGTATATCTTTATATATGGTATTTTTATCTCAGACAAGCCATATACATGTATAACTTTATGAATCACTAATACTGGAATATTTTCTGAATTACAAACAGGGACGTACGTAGCAAACAAAGAAAAATATAAATATGACAGAGGAAATTCGGACTGTTAATAATTATCACATTCATGGTCCAAAACCCTACTCATTTCTTTATAAGGAGCAACTCTGTTACATTGCTATAATATTCATTATTATATGATTGAATAATTTCCATATCTCTGATTGGCTGAGATCCAACTATTTTAGAAAAATATTACGTTGTATTGACCTGCACGTGACGTTCCAGGTCAATACAAGGATTCATTTCCTCTACATTGATCTAAAAATAGATTGGGAAATTCCAAATTTATACAAATTGTTTTAGAAAGCTATTTAAAACGACTATGATTTTTTTTTCATGTGAACAAAACACAAGTGATTATATATTTTAGGTGAGGGTGGTAAAAGGCGATGCAGGGACCCCCTCCAACACTTTCACTGAACAACATTTTTTTGGCAGTCAGTTTTCGCTCATAATACTCTTTCCTTTTAAAATCTATCCTATAAAAAAGACTGACATTATATATTTTTTTCATGGCAACTAAAATTGATTTTAAAAAAATTTCAATTTGATCCAACTGGTAAGGTTTATTCACATTTTAATTCTGCATCTCTCTTGTATTTGGCTAGGACTTAATAAAATAAGTTGTATCATTTTACCAATGAATCATATAATAAAACAATTATTGCTGTTTTTTCGGTCAAACAATGATTTAGCCATCTTCGAAGTACAATATTCACCTCGCCCTTCGGGCTTGGTGAATATTGTACTCCTCAGATGGCTAAATCATTGTATTGACCTCAAAATCAGCAATAATTGTATATTATTTAAAGAGTTTCGTTGCTTGTAATATTTTGTGAGTGAAGAAAACAATAGTCATAGTGTGAAAAATGAGGTATTTTCCGAGAAATACTCACTAGCATGAAAACGAGACCATTGACCTAACTATTTAAAATTGAAATTAACACAAGAATCATAGGCATACAATGTGCAATAGGCGGTTTTTCGTTCTTATCAGTGGAAATTTTAGTCATCTGTATAAATGTATATCTTAATGGAAGATACTTCTTAATTCTTCGTAATACAGATATCTTTCCATATACAAATTTACAAACAGCATCGACATGTGTATAAAAATTAAGTGAATATTCAATATGAATTCCAAGTAATTTTTCATGTGTAACACTTTCAATGAAATTTGTAAATTTAAATTCTGGTTCGTCACTTTTGATCGTCTTTGATGTGTGTCTATCAACATCCATTTTGTTTTTCTAGTATTCAAAATAATCTGATTCCGATAACACCATCTTTCTATATTACTTATGTCCGAAGATAACATATTTTGAATGAAAGAAACGTTATTGTCAGAAAAGTGAAGTGTGGGGTCATCTGCAAATAAGTCAATGCTTAATTTCTCTATGAATTAAGGGAGATCATTGATGTAAAATAAGAAAAGAAGTGGACATAAGATTGATCCCAGTGGCACTCCCGCTCTGACTAACTATTTTTCAGATAATATATTTCCATGTTGAACACTCTGAAATCTACAGTTTGAGGACAGATGATACAACGGAAGCCCATTTA